AGGCTATTTTTGTTTTGTTTAAGTTTGTTTGATAGTCATAATATTTATGCATAAATTTAGCGGAAATAATATATCTAAATAGTAAATTTTTATAATATGGGTTACATGTACTTACTGTAATAAGCATAAGTAAAGTTGTTATTAAGCTAATCGTGCTACAACATATTGATATAAATGCGAAAGGACGAGCAGCAATTGTAACTCCGTTTGCATACCTAAATAAATCAGCATTGCTTAAATCTTTTCAAATTGGAGGTCCTTTGGTGAAGATCTTTTTATAAAGAGGGCGTATTAAAATTTTTGTAATAACTGGTGACCGGAGAAAATTTTTTACTTAAAAAAGTCGAATAAATACAAAATATCATAATTAATATTTTTTTATATTATAAAACTTTAAATCTACGACGACCAAATCACAGAATCAAAGAAATATCTATATACATATATAATTTCAATTCTTCAAATTCCAAAGTTTTCAACAATTCCTTTTGTTCTAACTATTTGACAAGCATTTCTCTCATGTATCGGTAACCAGTACAACATATTTTAAAGAAATTCCCATAAAAAACAGTCAGAGAATTTAAATCAGGAGCAAAAGTCATAATAAATGTAGATCGAAATATTAGTATTTTTTAAGTTGTATACAGCTAGGAATTTTTGGAAGAGTTCGCAAATCTTATAGGGTACGTAAGGTGTGAAACATGTGTGGAAATGGGAGGGGGACATGTAAAGAACATTTGTAAACTTCTAAGTTTAAAGAATTCTTCTTTTTTCATCTTCTGAATAAATGGAATTTATTTTATCCAAAGTAAAGAATCACTAAGAAAAAATCGAAATTTTCATGGCGAGTCAGATAAAACTTTACGAGCAACAAATCCGGCTTGTGAGTCATAGAGAGATTGAGATCTCCTAAACTAGATTATTCCTATATTAGATAGATAAAAATTATTTTACGTACTTGAGTAATTCTTGATGTGTTTTAATACATTTGCACAACTCATAGGCATTTGTAACTGTCTTTAGTTCTTCAATTAGAATATCAAATCTTGCCGCTGTAAACCAGATCAATAAAGCCATATAAACATTTATACATAGTTGTCCTGATATAAAGAATCCGGCTGCAGTTTGTTGTACATAGATTATTGCTTTTAGCGGTTGATAGACACATCGAATGGATATTTGGCTAATGTTGGAAATGGTTGTTCCGTCACAGCAGGTAAGAATATAGTTACTATTGTTGCCGAGTAAAAAGTAATCAGAGATACTCCATACAACGCGAAACATTTGTCAATATACCGCTGAATCACGATTTCTTCGCGTGGTTTCATTAAGTTAGTGAAATTTATCATTTCGAGAGTAACATTCTGTAAATAATTGCTGTTAATATTGAAATAATTGTTATTGATATAGAAGATATAGAGATAAGAAACGTGAATGTGTAAGCAATTTGCGTATGAATCTTTCAATATTTCCCATAAACGCATGATGGTATTTTAAATGTTTATTAAATTTAGTTAATATAAAAATCAGTCAAAAAGTGTTACCACTCTTATACTACTTTGCGTTTAATGTATCTGTTCGCGATGGTGCAATGAATTTTGCGAGGTTGTACAAAGTATTGGTTTATTGCTTAAATAGATAATAATAGATAGCAACACAAGTGGGAAACGTGGTACAAAGAATTTTGCAAGTTTCCAAAACTGGCGACGTTCCATGATAGAATACAGTGTAAGATATGTATACATGGAATGCAGTGTGACTTCTCTAAATTCCTTTCGCATTGCGACGTCGCTCGTGTTACATTACAGGAAATATTGAACAATACCACCGTGTGCTTATAGGATTGATCGGATAATTGATTACCTGTATGCGATGGTAATAAATTTTATAAAAAAAGAAATTACACATGGTATGGTAAAGGCCGCTTGTTATAGTAGTTAATTGTACTATATTAAGAGGATCGTTACGACTATATATGACAGCATATGTCATTGGTGCCGCTAGACACACAGTCATGACAATACAGAAATAATGATACAGTTTCATACAGAATATCTGAAATTTTGTCGCATCTCGCTCTAACGGCCAACAGCAAATTGGAGTCACACTTAATTTCACGGCGTAGATCACGTCCTTTAGCAACAACTTTTTTCGCATGACTGTAATGCGCGATGTCAGCTAACGTATTGCAAGTTGATGATACAGAAAAGAAAAACCCTTTCGCGAGCCGTTACATAATGAATGCTCCGCGTATTCGCTACCATATTACGATGAAAGGGTTTAGTAAAGGGGTGTTGCTGTATAAGTGTCGAAGAATTCTTATTACTTTTTTCCGTATCGTGTAGGGCGTACATAAATAAAATTATGATTAAGCATGTACGTGAGAGACGAATCACCTTGCGTGTGTGAATTTAGTAAACCGTAATATTTCTTGCCGGTAAAAGAGCTAGGAGAAATGGGTGCATAAATAAAACACCTCTATAATTTCCGAAGATATAGAGCTAAGGTAATTATGCATATTTTAGATGAAAAATGTAAAAACTGAATCAAGATTTTTGTGATATCCCGCGGATATACTATATATGCTATTTTATTCTCATCTTAAATATCGTAGAACTACTTTACTTTCTTACGTTATCGTAATTCATCTGTCATATACATAAGGTCAGTTTTTCCAACCACTTGGGAAGATAACTAATAGTTAAATTATACGACTATCTGTGCCTAAATTGAGGGAGAAATAAAGACCTATATGTATATGATTTTACTGTTAGTTACCAAACGGTTGAAACAAGTGTATGCCCTTAGGGTACGTTTTATTGCGATTATAATTACTGTGCCATAATGTGCAATAAAGTGTTCTTATCGTTTTTTAATGCACAAAGCAATGTTTTATTGCGCGCACCATAGTAATTTTATCGAGGAAATATTCTCCTTGGCAAAAGAAAAGAAATATGTGTGTAGGAAGTAATACATGTTTCACTCAAATGATATACGTACGATACAATAGTTTTTAAGAATAAATTTCGCTCACGCAACATTCGCATGTTATAGTTTTGAGAAAAGGTGCGATTTAATAATAAGAGAAGATTCAATAGAAATAGGTGGAATGATACAATAAATTATTAAGACGCACAGTCGTGCTTCGTGTCATTTTATGTGTTAGCCAAGTTTATGTATAGGGAGGCCGATCTTAATGTGTATTGTTACGTGCGACAACAGCCGATAGCAGCTATACTTTAATCTCAAGTCCACATGTGAAAGTTATTAAGTAAGTCGTCGTTATCATCGTCATTTGACTTCTTTTCTTTTCTTGTACCACACGTTACTTATGCTACACGCCGTAGTTCAATCTTTTTTAAAATTTTGTACAGTTTTTGTCGAGAATTATTGCGATTTTGATATGTGTAGAAAGATATTATCACCCTATATTAATTCTAGATTTATTAGGAAGAATGCAATAAACAATATTGCATTCGGTAAATGAGCAGTATAACGCCCACACCTTCCATTTTTGTAAATTTTTCCGAATTTATGTTATTATGCGTAAATATATTCTGAGAAAAAAATCGTTGCTCTTATACCGTTTATTTTTAATTTTTAAACTTTTTTGATATCGGTAAGTAAGATAATAATAACTTTTTAATATATTAGGTGTACAAAAAGTTCTGAGCTTTAGATTTCATACAACCGAAATAACAATTTAAATTTTATATATCGTCCCGCTCTTTTGCGGTTTTAAAGCGTTGACATTTAGCTTTCTAAAATGCCATACGGTTTGGCGTTTGATGCACATAATCTCAAAAATCAGTAGTGTTCACGACGGCAATAACAAACGAGTATATTCGATTTTCTATCCATTTCGGGTTTCATCTGAAGAAAAATGCTGCTGAAGCCACCGCAATGATTTGTGCTGCGTATGGAGAGAACGCTGTAAATCATACTACATGTAAAAGATGGTATTAAAAATTTCGCCAAGGAGATTTCAGTCTTGAAGATTTTCTCTGTATCTGGTGAGATTGGAAAGGTGTATTGCATTACGAGTTGTTACAATGGGGTGAAACAATCACGGCAGACCGCTACTAACAAGAATTGACCAATTTGAGCGATGCATTAGAAGAAAAGAGGCCATTTACTGGCCAAGGGAGTCGTAAAGTGATCTTGCTTCATAACAATGCTTCATAACAATCGACCACATGTTGCAAAAGCGACTCAGGAACATATCTTTGCGTTAGGCTGGGAACTTCTCCAGCACGCGGCGTATAGCCCAGACATGGCGCTTTCCGGTTACTAACTATTCCGGTCGCTGCAGCATCATTTGGCTGATACACATTTTGTGAGATTTGAAGAGATACGAAAATGCATTGATGACTTTATCGCTTCGAAGCCGGTGAGCTTCTATCGTCAAGGAATTCGCAAGCTCCCCGAAAGATGGCAAAAGGTCGTTGATGCAAACGGGGAATATTTCGCTGATTAATATTTTTTTGTTTGTTTTTGAATGAAGATTGAATTTTACAAAAAAAAGCTCAGAACTTTTTTGTACACCTAATATTATTTATTTTATATTAAGGATGTATTGGACGTACAATCTTAGATAAAAGATGAAATTGGAAATACTTAAATATCTACTCTTAAGGTGGTTCTTGCATTTAGGTCAAACCGAGATAACTCGAAAAATATGATATCAAATGAAAGATTAACGTTCCTAGAGTGTGTATGAAAAATTTCGGATTTTTTTACCGCTTGGTTCCGGAGATATATGTCCGTAAACTTTGGCAATTTTACATATTGATAATAGGGAAAGGAGGGTCAGATCGCACATTCATGGAATACGTTCATACTTCTCGTCATGATGAACGAATAAAAAACTGTTTAATCGATACAATAAACATTTCTACAGATACTGACGCGACACCAAACTGATTGACCGTACCGTATCATAAATAAAGCTAAACTTCCGACGAACTTTCGGCAATTTTTGACACGACACGAGAGTCATGACCGCCGTCTTGAGTGGCAGCTTGACAATGTCGCACGGTCGCACGCATCAGCTGACGCATAAGCACAAGGCGCTACTATTCTCCCATCGTTGAATGGAGGTTCAATGGATGTTATAAAGATAATATAACTTTTTCGGCAGTTGTATGAATATATTCACTATCGATATACCGGCTGTCATCCTGTCATTAAAATTGCGACGTTGCCAAATGTATGGTTCCAACTCTAGTTAAATTTGTGACTTCGCTCTGATATTTTCAGTTTATACCGACGGTTCAATGAGAAAAAACCTTACGGAATAATTAATTTAAATGTATGCTGATTTTTACATACTAAATCATTCATATTTGTCATTAGTAATAATAGTTGCTTTTGTGACTTCGAAGTCCTGCAAGAACCACCTTAAGGCTCAGTCTACAATAGGTTATTTAAGCCCTAAGCCTTATGATTTAAGCTCTAAGCTGTGACGTATGTCCGGCCTTAGCGTTTCCCGCGCTGCTTTAAGCCTAGCCTCAAGTCTTAAGCAAATTGGCTAGCTTTCTAACCAATAATTTAGTAGGTGAAGGACTGGTCAAGATGTCAGATATCGAGGACGGAGAAATTAGTGTCGAAATTAACGATGAACTTCTAATTTCTCTCGTACAAGCACATCCATGCTTTTTGTATGCAAAAAGTGATAAAAATTATAAAAACAGTGTATTAAAAGATATAAAATGGGAAGAAATAGCGAATATTTTGAATTGCACAGGTAGGGTAAAATGTAATTATTTTGTACAAAACTATAGTACATACATATATTTCTGTATTGTAGTCAGTGAAGCTAGAAAACGCTGGGATTCATTGAGAAACCAGTTCTGTAGAAAGCGACGTCAGCAAAAAAACCAACCATCAGGTTCTGGGACATCAGCAGAATGGCCTTTAATGTCTTGTATGTCGTTTCTTATATCACATATTCAGAATAGGAAGTAAGTATATTATGTTTAGATTCTCTTTAATTTTGAACAAATAATATGCATTTAAATAGAAACACA